GAGAGAGAGAGAGAGAGAGAGAGAGAGAGAGAGAGAGAGAGTTTCTCTGCAGAGCTGGAGCCTCAGGCAATAGATGGGGCTGAGGAAGAGCGGAGGTGACCTCAGTGGCATGAGAAGATGCCCTTTCAACCTCACTGTGTCCCTCTAGGTCTCTGTCCTTCCGACTTCCTCTTCCTGACTCTCCATCTGTCAAAGGCAGGCAGGTGGGGTCTGAGCGGGAAGGAGAATCCCGCGCCACACCAGCCCAAGGCCGATACCTATGAGGCAGGCCTCAGGCATGCCTCCACCCTCTTTCCTCGTGAGCAGTTCTGATTCCAGCGGCCCCTCCCTCCCAGTGCTCTCTGCTTCTCTCCCTGGTTTGACCCCTCATCGCCATGCCCACACAACTCATGGGTCTTACTCACAGGTGTGGGCTTTAGAAGGGAAGCTGATAGGCTGTAATCCAGGGTTAAACATACTCAGGACCAATTCTTCCCGGAAGGACAGCCTCTTCTCTTTTGTACCCTGCTCTGGTCCTTGGTGTTTCAGCCACATGGGCCTCTGCCCTTGACCAGCAATGTCACAAAGCTTTTGGGGCACTGTGGATAAGTGTCCACCAGAAGCCTCATCCTGTGGCTACTCAGTTCTGGCTCTGTGGATCAGCAAACCTAGCCTCCCAATTATGTACCTGCCGCTCCCTACTCCGCAAGGGAGCCACCTGCCCAAGGGCACTCAGCTTTGCTGACTCCGAGGCTTCTCAAAGCCCTCTGCTCGTTCTCGGGATCTGGCTCTCGGTGCTGCCTCTGGTGTCACAGCTTTCTGTCCCTGGATCAGGGAGAGGCAGTGTGCAGGGGTCTCAGCGTACGAAGTGCCATCTCACCCCTGGCACTTTATTCTGATGGCAGGGAGACCCCCACTCCTGCTTCTGAGGTGGCTCATCTTATGCCCGAGAGGATGGCCACATTGGCCATTCCCCACATGGGATTTCCACGTTGACCCGATCACAATTAATCCTGTTAACAATCGCTCACAAGTGAATGATCTGCATCTCCCCCCACCTTCTCTTGCCCAGACCCACCGGGAAAATAGGAAGGACCCCCGGTAGTGCTGGGTGTTTCCGAGTCTAGGAGAGCTGGCCAGGAGAGCCCTCTTAGGTTGACCACTGCAGCACTCCCTTGCTGAGCTGTCTCTCTCCATGTCTCTGTCTCCAAGTCTCCTCACCTGGCTCATCTCCACATCCGGGGAAGAGCCGGCCAAAGGCGCCACCAACCTAGAAATCTTAGGCTTTGGGAGGAGGACTGCCAACTGTTATTGGGGGCACACCGTTCAATGTAAGCTGTAGATAAACAACAAGTCCATGTTTAGTGTAAACCAAAGCCAAGCTCACTGCCCTTGAGCCGATTCTGATTGATGGCCACCCTTTAGGACAGAGCAAACCTGCCCCAGTGGGTTTCTGGAGACTAAAACTCTTTGAGGGAGTAGAAAGCCCCTTCTTTCTCCCGTGGAGCCGCTGCTGGTTTTGAACTGCTGACCTGGTAGTTAGCAGCCCGGCATGTAACCGCTGTGCCCCTGGGAATTTTGCCATCACTACCCACACCCACACCCAGGGTCTCCTCTCCAGAAAGCCTTCTCACGGTGACCTTACCTCACATGGGCTCCTATGGAGCCCTGTCCCGTGGTTCCAAGCCCAGCTGGCTGTCCTGGGCAGCTCTGTCCTCAGCCCTGGGGGCAGAGGGCGACTGAGAAGCAGGAGGAACAGTGGCTGTCTCTGCCCAGCTCAGCAGAGCCTGTGTGCAGCGTGGGCTTCCCTCGGGTGGTCGGAATGGACACACGTGTCCAACAGCACTCCTGAACTAGCAGGGTGAGGGGAAGCCAGTGATACCTTTGCCTCCCGTGGAGCAGGTGACACCACGGCCTTTTAAACCCTGCAGGGAGTGAATCTGGCCAGGTTTCCTGGGCCGCACCGGCTCAGTGTCGGAGAGCCCTGCGTGCAAACCTGGATCTGCCGTTCACGGCTGTGTGACCTCGAGCTTGTTACTGGACCTCTCTGAACCTCCGTGTCCTCACCTGTATAACAGGACTGCTGCTGCTCACCTTACAGACTTGTAATGACAAAGAGGGCTAATAGGTGCAGGGTGTTCAGCCCATAGGGAACAATCTGCGAGCCTATTCCATTCCCCAGGGAAGACTGCATGGAATCGTAGCACCTGCAACACAGGGGTGCAAGGGACTTGGGGAGGGAGCTGCTTCTCCTGCCACCGGTCACAGAACTGCAGGCCCCACTGGCTGCTGACAGGAAGTCACAATGCACTGTGGGCACGGAGGTGCTGTTGCTGTGTGGGGCCCTGGCTCAGCTCCCCAGGGCTCCCTGTGAGGACTTGGGGAGCCTCAAGGTCCGGGAAAGCTTCCTGGGGGCGGCTGGGCTCGGCAACACGCCCGTGGCTTCCTCTTCTTCCCAGGTCGGTCCCCGAGGACACTGCGATGTTCGAGGTCTACGGGACACCAGGTGTGGATGTGTACATCTCTCCCACCATGCACCGGGGCCGGGAGCGCGCCGAGAGCAGGCGGTGGCGCTTTGGAGTGGGGACAGAGATCATCGTGGTCATGAACTCCCCCAGCAACGACATCAATGACAGTCATGTGAGCTGGCCCCACTCTCAGGCTGGGGGAGGGGGCCGGGGGGTGGGCAGGCTGTGGCTCAGCTCCAGGAGGACCTAGCCTCTCACTTACGGGCAGCGCAGGGTCCACAGTGGGTAAGCGCCTGGGTCCCGAGCCAGACTGCCCGGGTTCGAAGTTCAGCTCTGTAATTTGCAGACACAAACGGTATGGCAGGTCGCCTAGCTTTGTTGGGCCTCCCTGGGGAAACGGGGCTAGTCCCAGACAGCGGGAGGGTGGGACTAGAACATGAGGGGAGGGGGCTGTCCGGCCACCCGTATGGGACTAAAAAGCCTTGTCTTTCTCCCCTGGAGTGACTGCTGGTTTCGA